TGTTATTTGTATACGGTAACATGAGTGTCACGTCGAGCCGTGTCATTGTAACTTCTGTATTGTTAGACCAGGCACAGGTTAAAAGTCAATACAATAAAAATATATATAAATGTATAATGTTATGAGATTTAAGCTATTTCATCTAAATATTTGTTTTCGTGTTATAATTTTGTTCATTCTAGAATGAAAGATGCATAATTTATGTTTATTTTCCTAATTTTTTTATGGTGGTTGCGAGATCGGTCAAATTTACTGAACCCGCACAGAGATTAATTACTGAAAATAACAGATAACATATAAAGTTTTTTTTTAAAGAGATGTTTGATAACTATTTGGGCATTACAAAGGTTTCACATGGGAAATTTCCAAATTTTCTGATGAATAAAAGTATTTTTAATGTTAAGATGAAAATTACTTTGCATGATAGATACGCATACAAACCTTAAGACTTAATAATAAAAAAAATTAGATATTTTGCGTATGAAAGCATTGTAATGTTTACTAATAAACTGCCAAATTTTGTTAACATTTGCTTACTAATTTAAAAGTTATAGCATGAAAGGTATAACAAGCACAAAATAGTTACGAGGTCGGTCCCAGAAACCAGGCCCAGGTTCAAAGAGTTAAGATGCACTGTTTATAGCAACAGTAGTCTCCTGGGGATAGCTTAGCACCTTGTATCCCTTCCCTGACTTGTAGAGAGTATTTTTGAGACTCATCTCCACTAATATTTAGCCTTAAAAACGAGGTTTGATTTTTAGTTTTTAAGACAATCGGACTTGGTATGTTTGGTATGTTCCTATAACGTTATGAATATATGCTAACTCACTTCTCTATAGAATCAGAATTTTCTGTTTTTATTTGGAAGTAGTCCTTCAAATTGTGTTTCTTAGACTGTTTATTATATTATACTTCAGCAGTGATGGATTGGTTATTAAGAATGAAAAACAATTTATACCATGTCTCCAAGATTTACCACCATACACTTGAATGTTGGTCAATTTAGCCACTGTCCATGATGCTGTGTTAGTTTGTAGGAAGCACACCACCCAGAGTGACACTCGCCTCACTACTACTTATAGTCACACAGCCATGAACATATGAGAGATTGTAGTTGTAGAAATAATAGAGGAAATATGCTGTTCTTGCAGTTGAGGTTTTATTAATAAAAAAATTATATTATTGAATGCCCTTTTTTTTCTCACACTACCATTTTGGTTACTGAGAAAGTGTCTAAAACTGCTAATGGTTAATCTAAGTTGAGGACTGGTACAGATACTTATAATTGAACAAGACTTATGATAGTAGATGATTTGCTTCATGTGAATAGGAATTAAGGTTAAAGTGTAAAATAGAAAGTGAGGATCAGGTTTTACGTCTTGGCAAAGTGTGGAAAATAGCTGTGGTAGAAAGAGATAAAAACTGATTTTTTTTCAGTGCTAAAATGTTATTTTTTAAGAGTTTGATTGAAGTTTGTATATTTCAACTTTAGAGGAAGGATTAATTTTGAACATTTTAGTAAGATGTACCTTCCGAGGGTAGTTTGAAGGTGATGTTTTAGAACTATTATCATATATCTTCATCATTTACTCAGCATTGTCTGATATGAAGCGTTGCAGAGATTTTAAACAAAAGATACTTACAATGCTAAGTTGTGTGTAGAGCTAGGGTTTAGTACCAATAAGTTCTTAGTTAAAGCACAAGTTACAGACTTGCAGTAGAGTTGGAAATGGCATTTTCTGTTCATGAAGCATAATTTAGCTACTTGTAATTCTTGTTGTTTCTTCATGATTGGTACTCCTGTTGATTTGACTTTGATTCTTTAAGAAATAAGAGTAAAGATGATTTTTTTCCAATATTGAATAACCAACTTTTAATTGTAAAAAGTTTTAAATTGATGGACTAATCTATTTTCAGATTGTTCTAAGGAAAGAACATGTTCTAATCAAGTTAGTTATAATCACAAGGACATCTTTAGTGAAAGACTGTCCAATTATATGTACAGTCAGTTGAGACGTGGTTAAGGTTAGTTCCTCATACAACTGTGTAATGCAATTACATTTTCTACCCATTTAAATGTCTGAATGTAAGCTATGAAACAACCGTTGCTAGAGCTTAATAATTTTTATGATTTACCCCTTTGGAATATTTTATATTTTGACTTTTTTTTTTCAGCATGATTCCATAGACTTGGAAAGCAAAAGACATCGGGAGTAGCATTATTCAGCATGGCCTGATAGTTCCAAGTTTTTCATGTGTTTTCTCAGAAAAGCAACCTTAACTAAGACAAAAATTCCATTGCATTCAGCAGACCCAAATTTAAGAAAATCTGAACCAAGGTAGCAGAGACTGCTCCTGTCCAATTTTGTTTTGAAAGATTTGGAGAAGTTTGGAAGTTTGTCATTTCAAAAATATTTCATTATATTTTGCCACATAAAATAAAAGTGCCTAATAGTGTCGACTAAACATTGATGGTTTGTAAGAAGGAATTATGCTTTAGTGTTTTACACTTGTGAAAAAATAAGAAAATACTTTATAAAACTATTTCTTTTCTGAATAATGTGCAAAACTGCATGAATCAACCATTTCTGGAACTGATTGCTAGACAAAATTGGAAATTAGATGTCCAAAAACTTGGATGAATGAATGGCATTTATTATAGTTTTTTGTGTTAAAATTTATGACTCCACCATAGAGGAATTGTATAATCATTTGTCTGGAGAAGAAAATTAATAATTAGTAAAAAAAATAAATGAAAATTATTATAAAAAGGGGACATAAAACATACTTATTAAACTATAAATAGAGTTGAATGACCAAATTGTTAATACTATTGTATTAATCAATGTAAAGATTCCTTGTTAGATAATTGCATAGGAATTTCATTACATAATACATGCTGCAAGTGAAATTAGAAGACGATTAAAGAGGGTTTCCTATGCAATTTAGAGTGGCTAGAATGGTTAAGGAAAAGTTTTTGAAATTGATTAGTTTGAATGATAAAGATACGATGGCTTTTTTATTTATTTACATCCTTTATTTTAGGATTTTTTTTTTATTGTTTTGTTGTAGATTGCTTGAAAAAACAAGTAGAATCAAAGTATTTTCAGCTCATTTCTCAAGAAAAGAAGTCTATACTCTTTATACATTCTTGGGTTATTAGGTTTCTTCAATAATGGTTGATGGTAGATAGATATCAATAATGGCTGTAGTTTTGGAAATCACAAAATGCTGATTATAACATGTATTTATATGAAAGAATGGTAAGAGAAAAATGAGAGGGGGGCTAATATATGTGTATCTGTTTGTGTACGTCCTTATTGTGCATTTCTTTTCTCTCATTTTGGTACATTTTTTTTCTTATAAATACAAAAGCTATTTGTCTTCTGAAACTAGCTAATAAGGCATACTTAACTTTCTTTTCCAATAGTACACTGGAGAAAAGTGAAATAATTATATTGAAATGTAATTGCGGAATAAAGAAAGGTATTTCTGCATCTCAGGGTTTTGTAACATCTTTAAATATTATTTCACTAGATGAATCTAGACAGGTCTAAAATCTGTGGCATGGAAGGATGGTTTTGAGTCACATTTAAATATTTTATTGCCACAGTTGTATTACACTGATTAGCTAAGTACATTTTTCTTGACATTTGTGTTAAAAGGTTATTTTATAAATGTATCGGATAAGAAGCTTAATGTTGGAATATTAGAGGTTTTAGTTTGTTTTGTTTTTATTTTTTTACTAAATGTTTCATTTTCTGTTTTATCTGTGTTTAGTGGCAACAGTGAAATTATAGCAAGAATATTAGTTAGACAATATTTAGTACTACTTGCTGAATCATGATTAGTGATGTTCGTTTTGCTAATGTTACGAGCCTTTGTTAAGAAAGCAAGAGGGCTTTATTTTTTCTATTCAAATGGGGAAAGTTTGTGAAATATTTTTAAGCAAGTTAATTGCTATTATTTCAAGCTTGCAGGAGCTATTTTGTTGTGATTATTGTAACTTCTTAGGTCAAAAATGCTGCAAGTCATTATTGTAATATTGATGTTTTTGTTTTTCACAGCATAAATTATCTCATGGACACAAGTGACTAAAAAGTAGTAGCATTATTTGCAAAAGCTCATATGAAATCTACATGTTTAACTTTTTTCTTTTAGTTGTCTAAATAATTTATTTATCTTTTAGGCTTTAATATTTCAGATAGTGCTACTATTATAAACATGAATATATTAGACTAAAGGTTTCTGATAGATATTCCTAATTGGGCCATAATTCTAATAAACTCCAGATGCATTCTTTTAGTATTTTTGTAAAGTTAACTATTCTCTTTATTCAAGAAATATCCAAAAAAATTTTTTTTGGAAAAAAAAATTTCAATGGGTTACAGTTATTTATGCAGGATTGTTGCAGACATGGAAATCCTGGAAAATTTGGAATTTCAAAAAGTGACCAAAATGAAAGTTTGAAAACATTATTCTAAATCTGAAAAATCCTTTTTTCCTATTAACTTGGTATTTGCAAAAGCATGGAAATTATGTTGGTTAGCTATGCCAACCACTAGTGTATTTAACATAATCTGTGTGTTGTCATATTCAGTGATAATTATTTAAGTTATTAATATTATGTTTCACATGTTAGAACAAATATTCTTTTACGAAGAAAATGTACCATTTTATTGCCTACTATGAAGTAGAAATGTCTTTGAAGGTTTTTCTTTCTTCTCCGTAGTGCCATAGTCTGAAGAAAGTATATTCTGAAGTTATTCCTCTTTTATAGCTGCATTAAAGGCTAAAGCAGTGTTAATTGGGAAGAAATATGAGGAGGAATTTCATTATCAGTATTTCTCTACATGATTGCAGGCCTAAAACAAATGGAGTTTTTCCTGAAAAGACAAAATTGTTTTTTGAAAGAATGCAACCACCCTGTTGTGTTATTTTGGAGAAATCTTAATTTACAATTTTAAAATAATGCCTTTGGAAAAAATATTTTTAATACAATCTTTTTTCTGTTTTACTTCAAGTATATCTAGGAACCTCAGATTTTATTGTGTTTTGCTACCCCCTTGTGGCACACCAGTAAGCTTGTAATACTAAAATCTTTGGTTTAATTCCTTGCTGTGAATACAATACAGCACATTGTGTGGCTTTTTGCTAAACAACAACCAACCATTGGTGAAGTTTAATCAAAATACATCAGTTGTTTCTTACAGAACATTGTGCTTTTGTGTTGGTGGTAAGTATTGAGGAAATTATTTTGTATTCTTTTCAACTTCTGATAAAATGATTACAGTAATTGTTTTAAAACATAATTTATTATAAATAAAGTAATAATATTTATTTAGTTTTATGTTATGCATATAGCAAAACCCTGGTAACCCATTTTCTTGCTTTGGTTTCTTCTTTATGGACAAATAAAGCCTCTTGGCAGTTAGGAAGTTCACTTGAAATAATCAACCAGAAGTGAAACTTAGCACAAACACCCGTGTTAACATTACACACACACAAAAATTTATCATGTTATATTGACATTGTACAGTGTTTGATAACCAGGTTTTGTGAGCTTCAGAAGTGTAGTGTATATTACTGATTGTTAATATGTAGATAATAAAGCATTTAACACTGAAAAAAAATGATAGTATAGAACTTGCTATTAAAACTTTTATTTATAATTTGTTGTTATTACTTCCTTGAGATGATGACAGTGTATTATATATAACAAATGTAATAGCAGAGTTAAACAATCTTTATGTATATTTGTGTGTTTTTATATGTATATTTACATTGCACACAGTTTGCATTTTAGAAATTACTACGTACTTTCACGTAATATATGCAGAGTACGGTAGAACTTCTGAAAGTATGTTTAGGTTTAATTGTTAGACAAATTTTGACATCAGTTGCGTGTTGTTGTTCTGTATAAAGAATTATCTTGAGATTACCTGATTAATGAATGACCATTACCAATAGGACATTGTGTGTTACTTGGAAAAAAAAAACTTACAGAAAAAAAAGCAATATTTAAATGTTTAAAGATAGAGTTAGTGAGTTGTAAATAAATTTCAATCAGAATAGCAGCATGTACAATTCTAACTAATTTAAGGAGAAAGTCTTTGCTGTATATAATATTCTCTGAAGTTTTAATTGTCAAAAATTTACATGAGTGTTGAACTAAGTAGGAAAAAGCTTGTGGTATTTGTTACTGGTATTAGGAACTTCCTATGAGCTATGTTTGTTCAATGTATATATATATACATGAAGGGGGAAAACCAGAATGAATTAATAATGTGTATCATGTTTTCTAGCAGAAAAAAATGTGATGGATAAAACAGTATATGGTTTATATGTTCCTGTAACTAGTGAAGTTTTATTTATTTCTCTAGGAGAGTTGATTTTGTAGTACTGACAATCTTGTATGTTTAGGTTCAGTAGGAATGGATTTCTTTAAAATAACATGTTTATCTAAGTGTTTTTAAAGTTAGTTGAGAAATATGTTGTTGAATAGAGAGAAAGAAAACCTGTTACAAAAAATCTAAAATTAATTAAAGCATGTACAAGTGTGTTGACATTTCATTAAGAAAGTAAAAACTGTAAATGGAATAAAACGTTTTTGATTTTCATTTTGTTTGAGATTTTTTAATATTTTAAAGTAATTTGAATGTGTTTCTCCGATTCTTTAAACTGACGATACGAGAATGGAAACAAACTAGAATAATTTTTTACATACCAAAATAAGCTTTACTAAGTTAATATTCAAGAAAGAATAGTCGACAGTTTTCTGATTGGCATTAAATACTTTCCTGTTAAAAACTAGTTTTGCAAAACATGAGTATGGTAAAATAATTATTATTTAATTTATGTTTTCGAAAATGAAGTTGGCCATATCTCTAATACTACATTGGAAACTTTCAATGTATCGGAGTTTCATGTAATATTTCTCACGACTAATCTCCCATTTAATCCTCGTATGTCTAATCTAAAGCCTTTACAACTTGTGTTTGTTAAGCTTGTGCAGTATTTAGAGGTCGACTAAGTTTTTCTTTTTATAGAAACTTAGTTATTGGTTATACAAGTCCCATAACAAGATACTCGTATTCTTTGCGTTCGTAAATGTTCAAAAAAGCATAAATTATGATCTTGTACACGTTTTTCAAATACGGAAGTTGATATCTTATATTTTACAACTAGGCTTTAAAAAATATTTCGAGACAATTCGTTTCAATATCGATTATAACAATAAAAAGTTCAAGCTGTTCAGAAAATCTGTTACGAGAATAATAGTACAAATTATATTCAGCCAATGAGGAGGGGAGAAATAGCACCTTAAATCCTTTTGTAAAGAGAGCAAAATTGGTCGGAGCGAAATGTTCGAGGTGAGTCCTATAGGTTTATGTATCTGCGTATAAAATATTAGTATTTTGAACTTCCAAGTTTGTTTTTGTCTTGCAATACCATTAAACAGTAGAGTGTGCCTTCATTCATTTCATTGGCGTCAGAATCTAGTCTACTAATTCTCCCAGTGAGACATCTTCAAATACAATGGAAAATCCACTGCATCTTATTTATTTTATGATTTCAGACTTTAGGAGGTTAAAAATCATGATTTTCGTAGACTAGAAATCGGAAATGTCCCCTCTCCAATTAAAAATTTTGCTTAAAAGCGTAAGGTTAAGACTAGTGACTTGCTTTTTCATTTAACTTCTGTGATGATTTCTAAAAAAATCAAGACACGCAGTAGTGTTCCTTGCGGCCAGAACAACCTGCAGGACACACTGTGTGTTATTAACATGAGTGATAGTTTCGTGATTTTCCACTTTCTGTAGCTCGGACCGTGGTAATTCAAACTGATATATATTTTCAGTGGATGTGCTTTACTGGATTTTTATTTCACATACCAAATTTCAAGGCGATCTATTAAGAAATCCACGAGATATAAAAAATATCCAATTTTGATTGAAGTTCTTCCTTTTATATCTTTAATCGCACCGAAAGTACAGAAATTTTATTTGATAGAAAAACATACTTAATTCAATGGTTTTTTTTTTTTGCCAAATTTGATACATGACATATCTTTAAAACCTATAATTAGGAGTCTCATTTGGTGTAAATATAAGTTACATGTTCAAAGTTATTCAACAAAAACCGCCCAAATTTATCGAAAAATTTGTCCACGTTTACATAAAAATTCGCGTGAGCTGTCGGTCTAAAATTTTTCCCTTCACCTGAGAGAAAATAGGCCGTTTTTTGTCATTCAAATTAAAGACGGGTGATTTAGAGCGGCTAAACTATAGGGTGAAAGGACATGCAGATACATAAGTATTGGTTAGGCCAAGTAAACTAGACTAGCAGTTTCTAGCTCAAGTTTTGAAAAGAATCATACAGGTGGGTGGTTATTATTGATTGTCAACTGTTCAGCACAAATTTGTTAAGTTTTATGAAATTATCCTAATTAAAGTGTGTTTAGCGTTACACGATATTAGCTTAAGCAATTAGCGTAAATAATGATGCTTGATATAGCTGTACCGAGTGCATGTGGGTGATGACAAGAAACTGTTAATCTAGATTCCATGGCGTTACTATAAATGAAGTTATTAACACTGTTTTATAGAGGAAAACTACCATTGTAAGTTTTAAAGAATCTAGTTGGTTCTGTCGAGTATAGGTCTGTTTTAGATAAAAAGGTTGCGATCCTAAAGCTAATGTTGGCTACTATCGAATGTCATTTTCGTACTTGCCGTGGTTTGTTGTTGTGTGTTTATAAAAAGTCATGATATTTAATCATAAACACCTTAGGTGTGAATAAAAGGTTCGACCAAAAAGGATTGGGCATGTGACTTGAAGGAATGAAATCTAAATTAGCGGCCAAACTAGTAGCTACACTTTTAGCATTGATAAGAATTTTACAGCAAATATTCATTCATTAGTTAGCTAGGCCGTGTAGTTTATTTTACCCACCATCATGCTCCAAGTTGAACAAAAAAATGCGGCCTGGCTAATTATTGAACGAATATTTGCAGTAAATTTTTTAAACATTTTATAAGCGTGGATACCAGATTAGCCGCCAATTTTGATTTCATTCCTTTAAGTCGCATTCAATCCTAGGAGGAAGAGCCCGAGTGCCTACCTGACCCTCCCAGGTCACAATGACCTAAACCAGGTGCTGATACAAGCTCAATCCTTCTTGGCCTCACCTTTTTTCACACCTAGGGCGTTTTTGATTAGACTGATAATAACAAAAACATAACACTTTTCCCTATTGAATTCTGATGTTTTCCAATAAAAGTAAGATTCTAAATATTGTTTAACAAATTTCAACTAAACCAGAACATTTTTTTTTCATCAGTTTCTGGTGCTGTAAAATACTTTGTACAACATAACCTTATTTTGATTTTATTTTTGGCCCAATGTCCTGTGGCACAAATTTCGAGGAAATTAATTTCTTGAGTTGAACTATTGTCGAGACTATTACGAGGTAATTAAAAGTATTGATTAAAAAGATAGGATCAAGGTTGAAAATTTTAAACTAAAAATTAGGATGAAAGAAGGAGAACCTTTCATACATTACCATTTAAAGTATATTAAGGAATTAATTGATATTTATTTTGCATTAATTTTAGTGAGTAAATTTGATTAAACTAAATTTGATTTGATTAAACGTAGCTAACAACCCAATTTTAATAATATATAAGTTTTAAGTACTTAACTTCATAAGGCAATATAAATAAAATCCTAAATTACTCCTAGTATGAAAATTGTGACATTTTCTCTCTAGGCATCTTCTCCTTTCTAAAATTTTTACTCTTCCTCCTAGAAGTACGAAATTTAACGTAAATTACTTATTATAATATTGTCATCATTCAGGCAAAGCATAGTTTTATAGCCTTCAATCTTATTTAGTTACAGAGCCATCAAATAGAAAATCAGACCCCTCTTACCTCTGTCACATCCCCTCTTTTAGAAATTGATAATAGTTCTCTTTGACGTTTAATACTATATCATTTATAACCAATAGAAAGCCAAGGTTTTAATTTATCAAATGACGTATAATATTACGTTGTTTTCTGTACAGAGAATTGTCTATTTCGCTTCAAGTTCAAACTTTATTCCCACGCGAAACACACAAATGAGATTAACTGAATTTTTAATGGCTCTTGTCGCACAGTTAGAAAGCCAGAAAAATTGTGATAGTTATGGGATATTGTCTGCTTTTTGCATGTTATTATTGTGCTCTTTGGTGCATTATTTAATTAAATAAAAATATTTAGTGCAGTAGTAATACTAGTATAGAGAAGTTTTGCTCTGTTTGTTTATTTGTAATTAAGCACAAAGCTACATAATGGGTTATCTGTGCTCTGCTCACCACGGGTATGGAAACCCGGTTTAGCGTTATAAGTCCGAAGACATACTCTATAGTCTTTTCAAGCACAAAAATGACTTAATTGTTTTGTTTGATGTCATTTCCCGAACTTTATTTATTTAAACCTTTCTTAGTAAGGTCCTGATGCCTTTGTTTCCCTACCTGTTGCGTTTGACTGGCTAAGAAATGTTTGGCTCCATACCTTATTGGATTTTGTTTATTTTTGTTAAAATATGTCCATTTTTTTCACTTTTTGGTCCAATTTTGGTCAGATCTTTTGACTATCATGTTCTTTTTCAAGAGTATTTGACAGAAAACCTTCATATATTGTTCATTCAGTAAGTGATAATTTGAAAAAAAAAGAAGATACTTTTATATAGACCTTCAGGAAGCAGAATTATGGGGCTTAAAGGCTATAGGGCAAAACTATAGGGCCAAACAACTTCCAATTTTTTTTAGTCAAATCTACTAAATAACACCCAGATACACACCCTCAGAATCAATCTTTTTAGTATGTGTGCACATTTTCACTTTCAGGTCTCTAGGTTCTTTCCTCCTGGAGCTATGGCAGTCACACACACATACACAATACACACAGTCTTTTATTCTTACATATAATAAAAGCAACTAAAATGTAAAAAGGTTATATTAGGTAAAATAAATGATAATATTAATTTTTACGAGATACGCTCGCGACCAGCTCGCGAGTAGCTCATACGTTATGTATTTCGATAGGGTAATATGAGCTTACACGTTCGCCAAGTAATTTACAACATATATGGTGCGAATATTAGTTCGGGTTAGACATGGTTCAAAGAGCAATAAAACAATGAAATTTAAGTATAAACAGATGTATACTGTTTGAGTTTAAAGGTATTTAGGATAAACAAATGCGGTTTCATGTTACAATGTGGAGTCATTCTAATAGAAAAAAAATGGCAATTTAAATTTATTTCGATATTTTTCTTGGTGGTTACGAGGTCGGCCAACTTGACCAACCTTGTATAGAGTTAGGGTAGAGAAAATAATAGATAGAATATAAAGTTTTACTGAAAACAAACGTTTGAAATGTATTTAGGAGGTTTTAGAGATTATGTAAATGAAATTTGAGATTTTTCAGGTGAAGAAAAATTTTTTAATCTTAATTTTAAACTCACTGCATTCTGGAGCAGTCAACACTTTGACTCTATATATTCACGGAGAATTTTTAGTGAAAATACTTCATTAAACATCCCGATTTTTTGTCTACAAATGTCTCTTAATGATTACAAAAAGGTTTTGAAATTATGTGAAAATACACAAAACTTATTAGAAGTTCTTGTACGGAAACTATAAAGGACAATTTGGGATCGCGAACTCGGCTGATTCGACAGAATCCATAGCAAGATAGTTAGCTCCCATAATTTAGTCGAGAATTTATTTTCAAGAATAAAAATTGGCATTTCAGAAATTTGTTATAGATCACTACATGTTGTTTTCAAGTTTTAGAAAAACTGCGTTGTGGAAGAAGAATGGCTAACTTGTTAATTAATATGAAAGCATTATGTAATGTAGGGCTCCTAATATCTATTACTGGACCATATTTTATAAGATAAGACCATTTATTTGCTGTTATGACATTTTTTTCGTGTCTATCAAATAACCTATAAAAACTTGTATTGGCTTTGGAACTAAGAGCTTGACATATGTTTACTGTACTTGATCCAACTGTGTTTTAATGTGTGTGTGTGCGTAGTGGTGACTGCTTTTCGTCTTCGTCATTATCGTCTATGTCAATTTAGCATTTTTTCTATACCCTCCACGTAGGTCAGCGGATTTTAGTGTTGCAAGTCTGTAAACTTACCGCTGACTAACTCGGGGACTTTAAGCTGAGTTAGACGAAACGAGCCGTTACTTTAGCGTCACTACAATGCATAAAGTATTAACATGTTTCAAATTGGCTTGATTGAAATTTTAGATTAATATAATCAGTTAAAAATTGTCTTATATGGACGTTTTCGACTGTACAATCGAAAAATGAAACGCCATCAACATTTTTTTTTCTAATCATTTTTTTTTTTTTTCAGGCAGGAAATTCTAAAATACGTTTCAATTCTGTTCATTAGCAAGAGATGGCGATGTGTTCGATGGCTTTGGCTATGTGTTTTTAGATAAACTCATTTCGATGTGTACTTTCTCTAATGATGCTTTCTTTAATCGAAATATTTACAACTCTATTTTAAAAATAAAGTTCATAGATTTTGTAATTTAGTGAAATAATGGCATTATATTTTATTTTCAAAATGCTGAATAAGAACTAAATTGCCAAAGCACGTGCTAATATCCTAAAGTTTCCATCGTTTATTACATTTTATAGATACTATAGTTCCTAAAACTCACATTAGATTTTTATAATTACATCGATAGATGTCGTCTTTAATCAAAATTTCAGTCCATTTGCAGTTATGTATCTATCATTAGAGAGGGCTAGGAGGAAAAACGTAAAAATATACCATTATATTTTATAAGTTGCTTTATATGGAAAGTCTAAAATTTTAACACGCTAAAAAATTTTGTAAAGAAAACTCGTTGAGTGTTGTATATACTTTGTATTAAAGGAAATACTTATACTAAGTTGTACAATGATTATATCTTTTATATTTAACTTGCAAACAAAGCAAATTAATCTACTACATAGTTTAGTTTCCTAGTTCATAAGTAGGATTATTATTTATGGTAAAATCAGAAAATTAAATATCCTAAAATGGAGAGATTGTCAGATTTTGAGGTTCACGTGTAAAGAAATAGTCATTCATCCGACGTCATTATGTACTTCTGACAAAAAGAATCAATTCTCAATTATTTAAGATAATCAAAATCAGACAGAATAATTTCATTTTATAGGCTAGGCCTACTGTTTGCTTTTTCACATACAACATTCTGCATACATTTCTTTTGTGTGTGAGGTTAAATATATAATGTATTAATAAATGTATAGTTAATGATCTTTAACTAAATAGGCCTATAATACTATATTCTAAATTAAATGTTAACTCAAACTTACTAAAAAATGTGAAGTCTGCGTAGAATTTATACGCGTAGTGTATATGTTAATGATAAAAATTACAGGTTCGGTAGCAGACGATAGACGTGTATATCAACAAAAACTGTCGTTTTGCACACCTTCACGTGAGGTAAGAATGACTTGCGCAGTGAACGCGGCGGACAAACAAACAAACAAACAGAGATATTTTGAGTTTTATGTATAGATAATCAAAATCAAATTTAAAAATACTGAATTTATTCGGATGGAAGCAGTTTAGCTGTAAAATAAAATGTCCCATTTATTTTCTAGAAATTAAAAGCAAGTACGTAAAATAAAACGATGTCAAATCATATTGATTAACTTCACAGTTTTTAATAAATGTTAAACGAAGTTAAAGGTTACAAGGGGAAACTTGAATGGAGCTTCAACACTCAATACAATGTGCTTACTATTTAAAAAGTAGCAGAAAATTAGACTATTAAAACTTGTGACACTAGGTGAAGGGAAGCTGATCAAATAACAATCGAGATCGCTAAAACGTCCATATACAAACATGTATATATATAAACATAAATAGATGGCTACTTAGAGGCTATAGATTCACACAGGTAAACTATTTTTCTAAGAATACTCCAAATGACTTTCTTTAAAATTTTTGTATTCATTTTGAAAATTGTTGTTTCAATCAAAAACAGACACATTCCAAACTATTCAGATTTTATCAGAGCATTCGTTGTAACATTTCTGAATACATATTCTAAGCGCATGTGTTAATATTACTAGAAAACATACAAGTGAATCTTTTTATAAAGAGATTATTTTCAAATATTATTTATGAAAAAAGACCCGCGATAATAAAAATCTCAAATATTACAAAATTAAAGTGTCTTTATATTTTAACGTTTTGAGTACAAGAACAGTAGTTCCTGCACATAAGTTTAATTATTAATTGTTGTTAAGCACAAAACTGCGCGAAGGATTATCATGTACTCTGCCCGAATTTTTAGGGTTATAAGCTATTTGACTTATCACTGAGCCAGTAGGGGGCGTTATGGTTGTGTATGTATGTTTGTTGTTAAACGCAAAGCTACGCAAAGGGCTATATGTGTTCTGCCCATCGCGAGTATCGAAACCCGGCTTTTAGCGTTATACATTCAATGACTTACCGCTTGACTCACCAAGGGATCTTGCACGTGAATGTAATGTTTTTACATTTTTGAATAACCGATATTTGCCTAAGTTTCATCTTTAATATAGGAAACTAAATTTTCATCAGTTTTTTTTTTTACAACGCTCCATTGACGGAAAAATCAAGACCAAAAATCTCCAGGTTTCTTTACATAATTTTGATCATTCATCTGGATCAGTGAAATAGGAACAATTTTATATATATCTATATATTTTTTAGATCATTGGTATTACTACTTATAAATAAAAATAAATTACTTTTAACATTAGCGTTTCCAAACAATTTAATTTTTTTCGCTTTTTCCTTATTAATAAGCTTGTATTTGTTAGTGATGGACTGATGATGTTTTATTTGGAAAGTCTGAGCGTAATGAAGCCAGCCATGTATCTATATTTTAAAATGCTCTTGGTTAATGTGTTTGTTATCTTTTGATTTTTTTAGTAAAAAATTCGAAGGTATGTAGATAAAAGCTTGAGACGTTGAAATGAATGTCTAGCAAAAAAATGTCTAATCTTGAAAACGAATTATGATTACGTGATACATTTTTAATACTTCTAGCTAGAGTAATTTTTTTGATATTTCTGCCAAGTAGATATAGAATTAACTATAATATTATTTTAAAACCTCAATAGTGTATGCTGCTGTTTAAATCTATATGTACCAAACATTTTATAAAGCGAATATATATCTGTTCTCGCTTTCCAAGAATGATACAAAAATTATATCAGATAATCAGAATCATTCTTTTGAATATTAGAAATATTTGGTTTCATAATAGTAAGATTAACGTTTACTGACTATTACTCTGTTTGATTAATGACATCAGTGTTTCAAAGTATAAGTTTGTTTGTAGGTATTATTAGGCTTCGTTGAACAATTATCTTTCAAAATTACCTACGTTAAGGTAGCAGTAATAGTATTTGCATGGACTCAATTTAAATATATCAGTTATAATATTGTATGACATTTTAATTATTTTTACCAGTTTGCACATTTTTAGGCCTAATATTACCAGAAAGTCACCATTCTGTGTACACGAAAATAGAATATTCTTTTAATATTACTCTAATTGTAATGTGACGTGCTTAAGCTTCTTGCTACGAAGACACAGGCAGATAGTTTACTGACGTCTGCTCTGAGCAATTCCTCTCCCTCAGTCAGCTGCACATACACGCTTTGAGGGAGTAGGTGAGGAATTTATTGTTATCGCGACACCATGTATTGGTGCGGAGGATATGACAAACCAAGATCAACAAAAACAGAACTCAATTAGCTAAGGAGTGAAGAAACTGAAAGAACTTCACATCATAGAGCACAGTAACCTAAAAAATAAAGGCGAGAGAGAAACAAATAGGTTGCACCGTGTTTAGATCGATTGAGCCGGGTAAGTTCAACTGGGAATGGAACCACGGGAGAATCAGAGTTTGCGTTATTGAGAGCTAGGGGAGACCTACGTTCGTATCGGTACTGATCCTGTCCTTAAACTGTGTGAGTAACCAGCGTGCTGCAGTATGGTTACTCTGGCAACGGAATAGCTAGCGTTATTGTAAAATGCCTGTCCGAAGAGGCCACGTCGCTCCGCAGAACACTTTTGTGGACGCTATTATCAGAAAGTTTGACAATCTTAGTAAGTGTTTTCCTATTCTGTATTTCATCATCATCCTGAGCAAGCATTAAAATAACGAAAACATCTAAATAGAATTTATGTAAAATAGGCTTCTATAAGCTGGGAAGATTCTTTTTTCGAACATTAGTGAAACTCTGCTTTTAGCGGACTATAAGTACAGTATATAGACTTATATTTTTGGAATATATTGTTCTGGTCGTCATTGTTAAAGATAACTATTTTTGCTGGATTTCTCTTGATGTTTTTTCAGTTTTTGCTGAATGTTAGTGCACCCAAGGAATTTATCACCTTGCACGTTGTCTGTGTTTCAGAGATGCAACGTTTTTGAGTTAATAACTTATTCCTCTTTGTATTTATAAATTTTTATGAACCAGCTTATTGAACCAATTTAGTCGACTAGAGGTACGGACTTAGGACTTTTAAGTAAAATAATTCCTAAGCTATGCTATAATGATGCTAATTTTAGTGTGTCATCATGGCTTATTTTACAAAGTTATAACGAGTTATTGCTATTTGTTAAATATCATTCAGTATACTTGGCAAGGACATAATATGCAAAAAAACATAGGCTCCTCCATGCTCAAACCTATCAAAGTAAAGCACGAAAACAGCTGTACGATGCATGAATTAAACACTTAGGAAGGCAACTAGGAGCTGCCGAAACGTGTGAGGTCCTTCGTATAAAAATCGTGTTTTAACTCACATTTTTATAACGTTGTTTTTCTGTTTTAGTTTGAAAGACGTAATAATTTTGTCGTTGTTTCAATTTATTTTTAAATGTAGCCTTATTAAAAAGTAAGTCTGTGCACCAGACGTCTAGCATATTTTGATTTGCCCTTAGAATTTCAATAACTTTGTTTCTTCAGTTGTTTTGAAACAGTAAATATAGTAATAGTTTATTACTATGATCATTTTTGAGCTTAGAATATTTTCTTTAGTTGTCTCAGGATGAAATTCTTAATATTCATTAAGTTCAGTGTTCCTTCGTTTGACTGAAAATGAATTGAAAACGAACCGCAGTTTCTTTTAGAGATATTTAATTTATTACAAACATTATAGACTAACAGACTGCAAATGTACAAAATGTGATATTATTCCGAGTACGACGGTCGATTTAGGAGCAGTTGGAATGATGCGCATTTTTTGTTCTGTTTTTATATGCTATATCATGTCTATATTGCATTTCTAACTCTTAATTTCAAGAACAAAACAAAACACCAAAAGAATGAACTTATACTTTACTTATATGAGGATTCATTTCGTTTATGTTATTAAAACGAAAGTCTTTTCAAAATAAGCTCGGTGACTGATACATTACTTACAAACTCATTCTACTATTGTTTGAATGTTTTCTGGATTTATGATCGCCCAAAATGGGCGGGGCAGCTACTCTGAGCTTTTATTGTTGATCAAATAAAAATGGTTGGTTTTCTAGAAAAAGCAAGAACCCCCACCCCTCTGGTGAGAAGGTGTATTTGATGAATAACCCAGAAAATATTCTGTTTGCTTTTTAAAATGACAAACTTTATTTTATTAATTTGTCTTTAAATTTGTGGGACATTTTTTTTCTTCTCATCATGCATTCTTTCTTTCTATATTACTAATTTGTTTTTAAATTTGTGGGATAGTTTTTCATCTCACCCTGTTTTCTTTGTTTTTATCTTACTATTTTATATATTCATCATCATATATTACTGTTTTTTTTTAATTTGTAAAGATAGTTTTGAATATCGTCTTGTCTTCTTTTTGAACTTATTATTTATAAATCAATGTCCAGATATCTTAAAGTATTATTTTTCATTGACACTTCTCCCTCTCTTCCCTTGTTGTGCGAAGGATATGAATTCCAACTTCTTTTAGTTAGTATTTAAAACGACGTTAAATAAAAATGTTCCAGACTACAATCAAGATGTAAGAAAAAAAAGTATAATATATTTTATTTTAATTAACAGTGTACAATAATAATATCCCTATTAACACACCTGTTTTGTGTTAAATTTTAGAAGTAAAATGTTAAAATACGTAATATCTTATAAAATAATCTGGAACCAAGATGAAATATTGAATTAAAACTGATTTTTAATTAACCAATGGCCATGTTTTGGCTAACCGCTATAAGCCTGTTATTTTGAGTATTATCTTGTTTATCTAATTACCTGTGTTGGGTTGAAAACAGATTCATCAGTTTTTAAAGGATACAATTTTTGTTACATAGAAAGTTGGTTGGTTGTTTTGTTTGTATTCAAGCACAAAGCTACACAATTGGCTATCTGTGATCTGCCCACGACGGGTATCGAAACCAGGTTTCTAGCGTTGTAACTCCGCAGACATGCCTCTGTGCCACTGGGGGTGGGGGCTAGATAGAAAGGTCTCTAATGAAGTGTAACTTTAAATAATTTAATACTTTCTGAGTTTAATTTAAGTGGTTCCCGGATAGGTCAGATAATTCTTCGAATGACATTTGCCATTAACATTGATGTCATATATTAAATAATTGAACTTCTGCGTCATCTTGTATTCCATAGTAGAGTTATGAGGTTATTTCACTGTGACATTTATGTTGTTTTAGGTTTACACATAGTTTATCAAACTGTCACCAGGGGCCTATTACTTCCTAATCAGTTCCTGTTTTATCTGACATGTCTAACTTTAAGGAGTTTTTGTAACAAATGCTAAATTTTTTTGTGCAGTCAAAGAGAACTGCAGTAAAAAGAAAGTACTGTATAAATTTTTATTAAGAGCGTAAGAGTAAAATAGCATTAGAAAGAGCTTTATATTACTATATTATTTCAAGAGCCACATGCTGTAAACTTTGAATAGGATAATGAATTTGTATAAATTTCTCATATATGTGATGATAGGGTACTTTCTTTCAATGTTTTTTGCAAATTAATTTAGGTTGTACAAGTCGTCAAGATGAACAGAATATTGCTTAGCAAGGTAGTTACCTTTTTTATATTATTTCATGGGCAACATTTTTTTTTACAGAGGTACTTGTAGAGAAGTAAAGGTAATGCGTCATAAAGATAAGCCTGTTTCAGTTAAAAGGGGGCACCACTTGTGTCTATACCAACTTACTACGCATGTTTATAGGTATTTTTGGTCTGGCGTTCTCTCAAGAATCCGGCTGTGTGGTGAGCGGCTGAAATTTTGGAGGGTGATGTAGATAAAGGACATTTTATATTCTTTTACGAAGCTCATTGCATTGTTTAATTTATGAGCTAAACTGAGAAAATGCTGGGTAAAACATTTCGTAGAATAGGTCAAATTCACCAATGCAATAAATCTATTGGATTATAATGACCAAGTATAGAGACTTCAAAATGAAAATTGTGGCCTATAATGAAAATAATTGGAGTTAGTACTTTTTTTTTTATCTAAGATTTCAAATGCCCTCGTAGAATGTGTGCTCTAACATATAAGTATACACTACTAAAAGGTGAAGCAAAAACCACAAGTTATTTTACTGTTAAAAACGTTTCTACATATGGAATTCGTAATGAAGTAATAAGGGGAATGTGCAAAAAAATATCTGCTGTAAACCATACATTTTTAGGCCTAATATTTCCCATTGATTCGTCATCTTTCACAGATGAACACTACAGAATTAGCATTTGTTTGTTTCTTTGTTGTTAAGCACAAAGCTACACAAGGAGCGATTTTTGCTGTGCCCACTACAGGTATCGAAACCCGGTTTTGGGCGTTATAAATCCTCGGAATTACCGATGAGCCACTGGGTGGCTTTAGAATTACAATAAAAATTTATTTTTTAAAATAAAATTGGCATTTTGTCAATCACAGCAAACAAAGTTAAAAAAATAGATATATATAGGACGAATAGTCGTACAAAACTTAAAATTAAGCTTTTTAATGGTAAGAATACGGACACTTTTTTTAGTGCAACCAGTTCTCTGGCTTTTTACAATATGAGTTAGTTTATTAGTTACTGAAGTAATAAGGATTTAATTTATTTAAAATTAAAGGCTTTTCTATATGTAATTTTAGATATAAACAAGTTTAGTTTTTCGAAAGAACACCAGGGAATAGAAAATAAGTTTTTACGAGACATCTACAAAACTGAACAAAATGTAGTTTTCGCACACACGACCCCCCCCCCCCCCAAAGTTGGCATCTGTAATTCAAGTGAATTTGTTTCAACTAAATACTTAAGTCGATGAGGCAATATAATGTAATTCATAACCCAATTTTTAAAGTACTGCCATAACTTCTCTAGAAATTATGAAAGTATTATAAAATATCCATTTCATTCCAATTAGTGGCACTAATATATTCTTAAGTAGGCCTAATGATGCGATTAAGACGTTTATTATTACAAAGCTAGAAAGCGCCTCTTTAGAAAAGCACTGGAGGTCTGTGCTTAATTATATTAACCATTACCTTATCCCTTTGACAAATACATTGACTTTGGCATACTCCACCCTTTAGTAACTTATTTAACCAAATGTATAACCAAAAAGTGAAAAAAATTATATACGTGTTTTTACAAAATGTGAGTGGTCCGCTTTTTTTTCTCGGAAGTATCATAATTCTATTACTTCAAAAAGTAGAGCTTTTCTACACTAGAGGCGTTTGTGTAGTGGTAACACCGAGGCGAAAACCCATATGATAAAAAACATTCTGTAAGTGAGCAGCAATAACATCTACATTAAATGATTTTTGAACAATAATGTCTAAATATTTTATTTTATTTTTCTGCGAACAGTTTCAGAGTCTGTACCGTTTGAGCGTCCATGTTGAGGTAGGTAGAGCGCGGTCCAGTGGTAGGCGTGTGTCGAACTATCGAGCTGAGGTTTCATGGTTCACGTCCCGTTACCATAAAAATCACTTGTCGTATTTTGGGGCCTTTGTGTTATTAGAGTGATTGTAAAATCTTACCATTCAATCTGACAAGAGTTAGCGATGAGTGATGTTAACTAGTTGCCTTCTCTGTAGTCTATAATTTCAAAATGACGGATAGTTAGCGCGGATGGATCTCGTGT